CTGTCGACAGAACTTTTGTCGACAAAACTATACCAGCGTCTACACTACCGCTGAGTTCTGTCGACATTATGTCGACAGAACTCAGCAGTTTTGTCGACGCTGGTATGCCTCATTTTACGAGGCATAACACCTTCTGTCGACAGAACTTTTGTCGACAAAACCCAGTAGTCTAGACGTACCCTAAGACACAGATTAGAGTTTGCTTCCCAGTGGTCCGCATCCCTCCTTTATTTCTGCTGTTACAGCCCACACTCTCTCCCATTTCTGACCCATCTCCCAGGTTTCCATGTTGTTCACTTACCTGTGAGCTTTGGTCACCTGCCCCCATCAAACCTAGTTTAAAGCCTCCTCACTAGGTTAGCCAGTCTGAATCCAAATACTCTTCCCTTCCTCGACAGGTGAACCCCATCCCTGCTGAGCAGCCCTTCCTGCAAAAGCATCCCATGGTCAAGGAAGCCAAAGCCCCCTGCCCACGGAGCTGTAGCTTTCTGTGCCCAGGGAGACAGACACTGCCAGGGCTGGAAGGCTGGAGGAAAATGGGGAATGGCTGCACTTTGGGAATCAAAGGTGTTGTCTGAGACCATAAAGTAGAACAGTTTTAAGTTTGCTTTGTGGGTGGGTGCCATGGTTTAGCTGGCTAACGCACCTGTCTCATAAACAGGAAATCCTTGGTTCAAGTCCCAGTACTGCCTTATAGACTCTGCTCACATTTTCCTATGTCCTTCTGGGACACAGAAGGGGCCTCCCCTGGCCAACCATGGAACTGCTGGTTCAGGAAAAGGCTGACTGAGGAGGAGTGTTGGAAAGAAGGGAACCACAAGCCTGGAGCGGGTGCAGAGGCTGCTGTGACTAGCACAGGCAAGGCAGGGCTCTGACTGCAATTGCTAGGACAGGAAGCCAGCACCACATGCCCTTGTGATTCCCTGAGGGTGTCAGTGCTCAGAGATCCTGAGGGTGCAATCTCTACAGCTCCTGCAGCCATGGAGAGTTAGGGTATGTGGACATCAGGTGCTTCTCACCTGTTGGAGAGAAGCCTTTAGGGGCTTGTGGTTTCCTTCTTTCCAACTTTCCTCTCCAATCAGCCTTTTCAGGAGCAAGCAGTTCCATGGTTGGTCAGGTTAGGCCTCTTCTGTGTCCCAGAAGGACCTAGGAAAATGTGAGTGAAGGCCACAGCAAGGAGTCACTGGGAACTGAACCCTGGATATCCCCATTATTAGGTAGGTGCTTTACCCAACAAAGCTATGGTGCCCTCCTCAGGTAGGATTGTAAAACTGTTCTACTCTATGGTCCCAGACAACACCTTTGACTCCTAAAGTGCAGCCATTCCCTATTTCCTTCTAGCTTTCCCATCCTGGCGGTGTCTGTCTCCCTGGGCACAGAAGGCTACAATGCAGTGGGCAGAGGCTCTAACATGCACATCTCCCCCAGCTGCTGGGACTGTAGAGTTGGCCTTGAGGTTGGGCAGGGTTGAGGGGAGGGATAAGTGCAGCAAACATTGATCATCTGGATTGCCAACCCCCTTGGTCTCAGGGTTTGGGTTGGAGTCTCCAGGTGGGGACCTGGCCTCCTGCGATTTGGTCCCTTCCTGAGGGCACAGAATTAATGAGAGAGAATTTCTTAACCCCACAGCAATCTGAGTTGGCCAAGGAATTAGTAACAGAATTTTTCTCCACATTTATGTACAGAAGTTTAGTTTCTTAGAGCTGTGATGGCCAAGTGGTTAAGGTGTTGGATTAGAAATCCACTAGGGTTTCCCTGTGCAGGTTCAAATCCTGCTCACAGCAAAGCGCTGTGTTTTGGCCACACCCCTAATGAGGGCAACAAGCTACACAACCCCTGAGACATACTCCCCTTCTGCTCCTGTCAGAGAGATGACTGGGATGGTACCTCATGCTGGGTTCCTGAGGTCTCAGGTAAACTCGGCTCCTGCCCCTTGCCCAGCCCTGCCCCTGGGGGCTGCTCTGCTCTAGAGTGCGACAGGAGCTGGGTGAGAGGTCGGGGAGTCTGGATCTGTCCCCAAAGGTCCATCTATGCAGGGGGGAAATGCTGGGGATGTGACGTGGGTCACCCCTCCTGTGTCACAAAGCCTCTGCCACCTTCCCAGTGTTAGGAGCAAAGGTCTACAGAAGTAGCGGGGGAAGGCAGGTGTCTTGTTCCCTGCTCTTGCTTGGCCGTTTCCCCCTAAGTATTGGCCAAGAGTTAGTAACAGAATATTTGTCCAAGTTTAAGTCTAGGAGCACTTCTGTGGTGTAGTGGTTATCATGTTTGTCTAATACACAAAAGGTCCCTGGTTCAAAGCCAGGCAGAAACACAGTCTCTTCACTTATTGCAGCTCCCCTTGGTGCCCAGGTAAGCACAGCTCCTGGACCTGTGCCTGGGATGAGCCCAACTCCCACATGAGAGAGGGGGTGACATCAGCTGAGAATGCCTCTGGATGCCAGCCTGGGGAAGTCAGGTCAGGCATCTGTTGGAGGCTTTGCAGGAAGCCAAGCCAGAGATCTGGTAGGAGGAAGCTCCAGCCTGCACAGATCCAGTGGCTAAACAGGTCTTGTTCTGGCCTTTCTCCCCTGACCTGTTGGCAGTAGCTCAGTGGCAAGTACCTTAGATTAAACAGCTGAAAATCCCTGGTTCTGTCCAAGCTTTGGCATGTCTGGAAGTGCAGCAGGAGCCTCTCTTTACCTCTTGATGTGCTAGAGCCTGTGACATCCCCTCATCCATTTCTGCCTGGCCTTGGAAACTCATGTTCATCTGATTAGCCCCCAACCCTTCCTCAGAGTCACTGCTGCCTTGACTAAAGACCCCTGCCCTTGTGGCTGCTAGATGGATCTATTCACATGTAGATTTACTGAACACTCTGCCCTGCCCCCACTTGGTTGCCTGCACCCAGATCAGTCCATGTCACTGGCTCAGGGGTTTCTCTCCTCAGTGCACTGCAGAGAAATCCCTTGTTTCTTAATGGGCCTCAGGGAGCCCAGAACAGAGGGAGCTGGGATTCTAGTCCCATTGGTCCCCTCAATGCTCAGCCTCAAGACCTGAATCCTGACTTCTATATCCTCAACCCTACTCTGAGCCCTACCTCACCCATATGCACCCCAAATCCCTTCCCTGAGCCTCCCACTCTGCTCTGTAATTTCTTACAGATACTGTCCTATCACAACCCCTCCCGCCCCTTCCTTCCTTGAGCCTCCCTATGCCCAAGGGGTGGTGCCCAGTAGAACAGTTCCTCTACAAATGTGTCACTTTCACCCCTGGGAGCAGCTCAGTCATGCAAAGGGGCTGCCTGGGGCAAGACATTAGCCCTGAATGGCAGGGGTGGGTGTAGCAGTGACATCACAAGGGTCTTTTGCAGCATCTCAGCTTTTTGGCTAATGGAGGTTGGGAGGCGATGACCTCGCAGAGAGTCCATGACAATGGCCAGGTGGGACAGGCTGCAGGTCAGGGGCCATCTCAGAGACCCCAATGACTTTGCTGCAGGGAGTCTCCTTCTTGAGATCTGCCCTTGAGGCCAGAGAGAGAATGAGGGTCATAAGCATGAGGGTGAGGAGGAGCCTCATTGGAGCCGTCTCCTTTCCCACGAATAACTGACCTAGAAGACAGACGTCCCTGTGGAGAAGGTAAAAGTCACCAAAAGAGTTAGCACTGAGTGGAAGAGTTAGCTTGAGTGGTTGAGCATTTACTTAGCAGATGAGAGGCAGTAGGATCAATACCCATGTTCTCCTGTGATGGAGGAGTCCCCATTTTTCTTTTCCCAGGCACAGCCACCCAGAGGGCCAAATGCTTCCAGTGGCCCCTCCCTCTTCCTACTTGCTCTACCCAAAAGCCACCCACGGCTTAGTTCCAAATCTGTAAACCTAATTGCACGAGGAATAACGCCTCTTCTGCTCCACTGCTGCTATTTTGAAATAGCTCCTGCCCAGGGCCATTGAAAGTAATTACTCCCCAGTACTTCCTAAATCAAGATAGCATGTCCACATTAGGGGAGCCTTCCTTGGACTAATTTTGAGGCTTCCCTGTAGTGTGGATATGCTGTTTCAAAACAAGCTATATAATTTTTTTTCAAAATAGCGTTTTTTGAAATAAGTGTGCTTTGTAGATGTACCCTGAAGCTACATCTAGACTGCCAGCTTCTTTTGAAAGAAGCTTTTTTTGGAAAGGCCTTAAAAAAAACCAACTTCTTTTGCAAGAGACCGTCCACACTGCAAAAGTGCATTGAAAAAGCAATCTGCTTTTTCTAAAGAGAGAATCCGGACCGAATGGACGCTTTCTTGCATGTAAGCTGTGATTGTTATGGATGGAATGGCCACGAGAGCACCTGTGCTTTTCCCCCTTTCCTCTTCTTCTGAAAGAACTTTCTTCCCCAACTATACATGCCTTTTTCCAAAAGAGCTCTTTCAGAAAATGGCTTCTTCCTCATAGAATGAGGATTAGCAATGCCAGAAAAAACCCTCTGTTCTTTCAATTTTCTTGCAGAAGAACACAGTTGTAGTGTGGACGTTCCTCAAGTTTTGTCAGGAAAAATGGCAGTTTTTCGGACAAAATTGTGTAATGTAGACATACCTTGAGAGCTTAGAGAAGGGGAGGGAAGCAGGACCAGGGGAGAAGGCTCCATGACTGTGTCAGAGGGAGGCTCTGCCCTGGCCAGTGGGGAATCATTGCCTCTCTGAGGGGCCTAAGCCTGGTGCATCACTTCCCCAGGTTACTGAGTGGGGGCTGGAGCCAGTTCTGTTTTGTCTCCTTCAACAACAAAACTCAGCAAATAGATCTTATGATAACCTGACTGTGCACTGGGCTAGTGCTGTGTGCGCCACCAAGCTTCTGCAGGGCTGCCCATATGTAAAAGGAGAAGGGCAGCACAAGTGAGCTGCTCTGCCCCTTTGGAAAGACTTGTCTTGTTGAGATTAGAAGGCCCCCCCCCCATAAGCCACTATTGTGTCATAGGTGGTACAACATCAGCCATGGAGGAGTAAGGAAAGACTTGGCACAGGAATAGATGAGATTGTTTCCCCAACCAGGAATTGAACCTAGGCTGCAGCAGCAAGAGTGCTACATCCTAGCCACTAGACCACCAGGGAGATGCCAAGAGCCCTTTTTCTCAGCCTGAAATCATCTGCCACACAGAATTCAACCAGCAAACCTGGCTCCTAGAGCTCAGGTAGAGTGTGGGGGTCTCATATTTGAGCTGTGGGGTTCAGCATCAAACCCCCCAGTGGGACATGTAATTGTGCTGGAATCTGGTTTACTCTTGTCTGTGGACAATAGGAAACAGTCTGGTGGGCCACAGAGAGAACCTTTTAGGATGATGTAGAGGTAACTGAGGACTTTGTCTTGTTGCCTACAGCAAATCCTCCAGGTACTGCATGGTACTGGGTGGAAGTAGTGTCACTTGTGCAGCAGCACAGAGTAGTTGGCACATTAAACTCTGATGTCAAATGAACACTTGGGAGAAAGAGGCTCCCCACAAGATTTGTAAGGACTGTGCTTGGTTCTTTGATTTGAGGCAAAGGGCTTGTTCTCAGTGCCCAGATGCTCCAAGAATGAGATCAGCCTATTCCTGCCTTTACTCTCACTGTGGCATTAATACAGTCCCCTTTGGCCTGAACGTTGCAGTAGTGCCCAGCCCAGCAGGTTCTGCTCACAGCGGGCCACTCAGCCCAGCTGGCTTCTTAAGGTTCCAATTCACTTGAACTCACGGTCCCGTGAATGTGGCATCAAATCTGTGGCTCACCCAGATGCACAAACCCAAAGCCAAACTGAAAGCAACAGGAGCTGCCCAGGACCCCTCCTTCCGCCCAGCAGGGACACAGGGATTCAGCCGGATTGTCCCTCAAGGACACAATGATCCAGATTCACCTTTGGTTTTGAAACAGACACTTGAAGGCAAAGGAGGGCAGGGGCCCAGCAGCTTCCTGCCCTGCCAGGTCTGGCTTATTGAGAGGCCCATAGTAAGAGGGAGGGGCCACTGGAGGTGCTTAGCCCGCTGGCTGGCTCTGCCTGTGAACAGCAAGAAGGAGATCCCTGCCCCTGGGGAATGTGGGTCTGGGCACAAGTTCCAATGCTCCCTGTGCAGAGAGAAAAGGAAGAGGAAGGGCTCCCCTGGCAGAATCACCCACCTGGCAGAATGAAACTGGGTTGTGGCCCATTGTGCACAATGGGGAATGCGGATCTGACAGGGAAGAGGCTGTGGAAGGCAGAGACCCGGCACAGCCCCTGCCTTGTCACATGTCACTAGAAACACTCTGCTGTGCTGAGTGTAAGGGGGCTATGCCCAGGCAGGTGCAATCTCTGCACTGTAGGCTCCAGCTGTTCAGTGATGCAGCCTCAGCTCCACCTGGGCTTTAGCTCTTCTGTTTAACACTCTCCCAACTGAGCTATTTTGGCAGCTGAGCCCTCAGCTCTGAGGCTGCCACTTCTCTCTCAGGGCATTTTTCGCAGCAGCAGCAGCGCACAAGAGAGAAGCTGTTGCCAGTGGCCCTTCAAGGAATGATGAATTTTCCTGCCTCCCTCTGCCTGACTCACTACTTTGCCCCATTCCTGCCTCCCTTCCTGGGCTGACCCAGGGGTAAAGGGGCTGAGGCTGCCAATGACAGGGAAGAATCTGGGAGGCAAGATGCTGGCAGCACGAGATTCCAGCTGCCTCTTTGCCCTAGGTCTCCGTGCGCCATGCCGGCCACCAGCCATCTTGACCAAACCTCAAACCAGCAGGACTAGCCAGCCTATATCACAGTGAGTTTCCTGTGGCCCTGTTACAGAAGAGCCATTGGGAGCTGCAGAGATGTCCTTGCTGTTGCCTGAGGTGCCTTTCTGAAAGGGCCACTTGTGAGCTGGGCTCCCATAGGCCAACTAGCTCAGTTGGTTAGCGCATGGTGCTAATAATGCCAAGGTCATGGGTTCAACCCCCATGGTGGCCACAGGGAGGTTTGGATTTGGTGACTTCCCCCTTTTTAGCTGCCTGCTATGGACAGAAATAAGCAAAAGGCTAAGAGCCTTTCAGGAAACTGGCAAGAGAAGGCTCCGCCCTGCACAGACCCAGTGGCTAAAAGGCCCTTGGCCTGGCCTGCTTCCCCCAATAGCAGGGAAAACTCTTCTCCTCCCTCCATTGTCCCCAATGGGGTGACCTGAGGCCAACAATTCCCCACTGGGCAGGGCAGAGCCTCCCTCTTACACAGTCATGGAGCCTTCTCCCCCTGATCCTGCCTCCCCCTTCACTCAGCTCTCACTGCTTGGTGCTGCCAGGGAGGGGCCTCACTGCTAGAGCCGCCTCGGCAGGCTCTGGACTCAGAGACACGTCCCAAAGCAAGATGGATGCTCAGACCGACACTGAGGTTACATCTACACTGCAGGCATTTTGCACAAGAACTGTTTTGCGCAAGAGTTCTTGTGCAAGCAAGAGCACATCCACACCATCATGTGCTTTTGTGCAAGAGCATCCATGGCAGTGTGGATGCTCTCTTGCACAAGAAAGCTCTGATGGCCATTTTAGCCATAGAGGTTTCTTGTGCCAGAAACCCCTGTTGCCCTTCCACACTGCCCTCTTGTGGAAGAGTTCTTGAACAAGAGGGCTTATTCCTTGTGGTGAGAGGCATATCTCTTGAGCAAGAAGCCCTCTGGTCTGCCGCTTTACTGTAAATTTGCTTGCACAAGAACCCATGTTCAGTGTATACGCTCTGCAAGTTTTTGCGCAAGAACGCTGCAAGAGGCAATGGCATTGATACCTACATTTGCCAGTGCCCCACTCCTCTTTTTTACAGCCTGGGGGCTAAGGGCCTCCAGTGGGCCCTCTGCCTTTCTACTTACTCTTCCTAAAAACCAGCCCTGCCGGGGCAGAAAGCTGCTAGGATTCAGCCTCCCTTTGCCTGGCGCTGGCAGGAGCAGTGGAGACAGGCCCCAGAGGGGCAGAGTTGCCACATTGGGAAAGTGCCACTAGGCATGTGAGATGCAGTGGATCCCTCCACATGATCTCCAGCCAGCTCCCTTTGGCTGAGGCATTGGCCGCTTTCTTGCTGACCTAATGTGAGTGGTTGGCCACTCACCAAAACACAGGCCTCACTGTGAACATAAGAATGGCCAGACTGGGTCAGACCAAAGGTCCATCCAGCCCAGTGTCCTGTCTGCTGACTGTGGCCAATGCCAGATGCCCCAGTGGGAGGTAACCCTCACATAAGTCCTCCCCTGTCATCAACCTCCAGAGAAACAAAGGCTAGGGACACCATTCCTACCCATCGTGGCTAATAGCCATTGAGGATTCTAACCTCCATGAATCTATCTAGCACTTTTTTGAACCCTATTAAAGTCCTAATCTTCACAACATCCTCTGGCAAGGAGTTCCACAGGTTGTCTGTGTGCTGAGTGAAGAAAAACTTCCTTTTGTTTGTTTTAAATAAGGATGTTAAATGTTTGTTAATGTCCTAGTTGAGTAGTCAATGGAATTTCCATTGACTACTCAGCAGGCACGTCCACATTTCAAACATTTCACAGCAGGAAGGCAGAATTCTGCATGCAGGCCTGGGCCAGCAGGACAATCCATCTGACTCCAGGCTGCATGTGGGCATGCCACTTTTGAAATATACAAGAATCCCCTGCTTGTGGGACACTCATTATTTGGAGTGGAGTTAGCTCAAGTGGCAGAGGGCTTGTTTAGCATGCGTGAGGCAGTGGGAGCGGTATCCACTTTCTCCAGTGATGAGGAATCTTTGTTTCCTCTTTCCACAGGCAGAGCCAGCCAGGGGACTAAGAGCCTCCAGTGGCCCCTCCCACTTCCTATTTGCTCTCCCTAAAAGCCAGCCTTACAAAGGAAGGTAGGAATGTGCACCAGGCAGATTTGTAACAGGCTCCTGGCCATCTCCACCTCTACCTCTGGGTGGGACACATCCGCACAAACAGTGGAATTAGCTCAAGTGGCCCTTTGCCCCTCCTCATGAAGCTGATTGGCTGGCAGAGAGTGCCACTCAAAGGCACACCTGCAGCACTAGCATAATGGCTCAGATGTAATTATATAAAAACTAGATAAATTCATGGAGGTTAACTGTTTTGACTTGCTTGTGTTACTTTGTCAAACTTCATTTTAAATAAAGTAAAACATTATGTCCAACACAAAAGATTTAAATGTTTTCTTTATTTAAGGCAGGAGTGGAGAATCATTTTTTGGTTGGGGGTAACTGATTCTCAGGGGGAGAGAAAAAAAGCACGGGGCACCACACAAGTGAGAAGGGAGGGGGGGAACCACCCCTCCAAAACTTCCCAACGCTCTCTGATGCAGTCTTAACTAAGACACCTTACTCTAGTGCCCCAGCCTCATGGGGTAAAAGGAAGGGAAGAGGGAGGGGGGAGTGAGGTTCATGGCTTCCCACAGCCCAGATTCACTATTCTGGGGGGCTGGAGTTAGTGGATTTTATGGACCTCCTCAGGCTCTAAGATGGGACAAAAAAGAGGGATACAGTGTGTGCGCCAGGGCTGACAAGAGGATAGGGATGGGGTGCAGGATCTAGGAGGGAGCTAAAGTACAGAAGCTGGCTGGGAGTGCGGTGTCTGGCCAGGTGGAGGAAACAAGGTGTGGCAGGGACCTTCCTGAGACCCTGACCACTGTTCTGTCCACTATCCCACACTTTGAGGGCTACAGCAGGGCTCTCACCTGCAGAGGTTTTTGTCCCTGGGCCTTCCTGGCCCTTAGCATAAAGGATGTTGTATGGGACTGAAGCCCTGGGCCAGTCACGACTGACCAGAAAGCCTTCTTTTTGCCCCGAATGGTGGAGGGTAAGGGAGCCCTCCAACACCCCTGCTCAACTCCTCACTTCCCCCGTAGCATTTAGCAGAGCTGCTGGTTCCTCCTGCTCCTCCACTCTGTCTTCTTTACACTGGATAGTTTTCCTCCTCTCCATGCTCCTTCTCTCCCTCAGGGAGGGTTCTTAAAGTGGCTCCATGGCAGCCTCAATCAACATCACCTGGCCCTTAATTGATTTGCATCCACCCTCTCTCAGCTGCCCCTAATTAGCCAGGATTGCTGCTGTTCCCTCTGCTAGAGCAGCATTTCTCCCCTACCCCCAAGTCCTTTAACCTGCTCTGTCACAAAGGGCAGTATGTGGCCAGGAAAGATGGGGTGTCAAGAGTAAGCTGGGGGTGCTGGGTGTTGGTGGGGGAGGAAAATGGGGATTGGGATGGGAGGGGCTCTGGGTACGAGGGGGAACAATACCTGCCTTCATGCCCCCTAGCAACAATATCTCGCATCAAGCTGTCCCAGCCACCCTGGAGGAAGGCTTTGCTGCTGTGGCAGCCACGAAGTCCAGCGCCAGCCCCGGAGGCCAGAGGCCTTGCTGCTGCAGCCATGTAGCTTGTGACCAGAGGTGCCACTGCCACAGCTATGCAGCCCAGAAACTACCCCAAAGGCACCCCTGCCATGGCCACATGGCCCCAGAAGCACAAGATTCTATGGCTGTGGCCATGAGCCAGCCTTTGAGGCCAGAAGTACAGCGACAGCGGTATGTCGGCCTCTGGGGCTGGCCCCACATTGTGTGGTGGAGTCTAAGCCCCAGGGCTGCCTCCTTTCCAGTGCCTGAACAGCAGGAAAGAGCACGGCTGAGCTCCTTCCTTTACAGCACATGCCCGTTAGGGGGAGGGCCTAGCACTGCCTCATGGGCAGGATCAAAGCACTAGGTGGGCCTAATTCTGCTTGCTGAGAAGTTTTCCCTAACTGTGGTATTGGGTTTCTCCCCCTGTGGCTTCTTCTATGTCTAAAAAGCTGTGGTCTCCAACTGAAACTTTTCCCACAGTCAGAACAGCTGAAGGGTTTCTCCTATGGATAAGAAGTGAGCATCGATTGAAGCTTTTCCCAGTGAGAGTAGGTAAAGGATTTCTCCCCTTTATGGCTTCTCGAATGTCTATTAAGGTGCGATCTGTAACTGAAGCTTTTCCCACAGTCAGAGCAGATAAAGGGTTTATCCCCTTTGTGACTTCTCCTATGGGTAAGAAGATTTGATCTCCGACTGAAGCTTTTCCCACAGTCAGAGCAGACAAAGGGTTTCTCCCCTGTGTGGCTTCTAAAATGTCTATTAAGGTGTGAGCTGCAACTGAAGCTTTTCCCACAGTCAGAGCAGATAAAGGGTTTCTCACCTGTGTGGGTTCTCCTATGGATAAGAAGAAGTGAGCTCTGAGTGAAGCTTTTCCCACAATAAGAGCAGCTAAAGGGTTTCTCTCCTGTGTGAGTTCTCTTATGGATAACAAGGTGTGACCTCCGATTGAAGCATTTCCCACAACCAGAGCAGCTGAAAGGTTTCTCTCCAGTGTGGACTCGCCTATGGATAAGAAGAAGTGAGCTCTGACTGAAGCATATCCCACAGTCAGAGCAGCTGAAAGGTTTCTCTCCAGTGTGGACTCGCCTATGGATAAGAAGAAGTGAGCTCTGACTGAAGCATATCCCACAGTCAGAGCAGCTGAAAGGTTTCTCTCCAGTGTGGACTCGCCTATGGATAAGAAGAAGTGAGCTCTGACTGAAGCATATCCCACAGTCAGAGCAGCTGAAAGGTTTCTCTCCAGTGTGGACTCGCCTATGGATAAGAAGAAGTGAGCTCTGACTGAAGCATATCCCACAGTCAGAGCAGCTGAAAGGTTTCTCTCCAGTGTGGACTCGCCTATGGATAAGAAGAAGTGAGCTCTGACTGAAGCATATCCCACAGTCAGAGCAGCTGAAAGGTTTCTCTCCAGTGTGGACTCGCCTATGGATAAGAAGAAGTGAGCTCTGACTGAAGCATATCCCACAGTCAGAGCAGCTGAAAGGTTTCTCTCCAGTGTGGACTCGCCTATGGATAAGAAGAAGTGAGCTCTGACTGAAGCATATCCCACAGTCAGAGCAGCTGAAAGGTTTCTCTCCAGTGTGGACTCGCCTATGGATAAGAAGAAGTGAGCTCTGACTGAAGCATATCCCACAGTCAGAGCAGCTGAAAGGTTTCTCTCCAGTGTGGACTCGCCTATGGATAAGAAGAAGTGAGCTCTGACTGAAGCATATCCCACAGTCAGAGCAGCTGAAAGGTTTCTCTCCAGTGTGGACTCGCCTATGGATAAGAAGAAGTGAGCTCTGACTGAAGCATATCCCACAGTCAGAGCAGCTGAAAGGTTTCTCTCCTGTGTGGATTTTCTTATGTCTGACAAGATTTGAATGCCGACTGAAGCATTTCCCACAGTCAGAGCAGCTGAAGAGTTTCTCCCCTGTGTGGGCTCTTTCATGTGTAATAAGAGTTGCAGTGTCACTGCTAGCGCAGGGTGACTGTTGATGGGGGATTTTCTGTTGAACAGTTTTTGTGTTTGTTTTTAAACCTCTGCTTCTGTGACTGGATTTACCCTGCCCCTCTCCTGGATGGTTTCCCTGCAACCTGTGTGGGCTGCACTGACTCTTACAGGTCTCTCCTTGCTCAAGACTCTGAGAATCATGCCCTTGAGCTCTACCCAACTGCTAGCGCAGGGTGACTGTTGATGGGGGATTTTCTGTTGAACAGTTTTTGTGTTTGTTTTTAAACCTCTGCTTCTGTGACTGGATTTACCCTGCCCCTCTCCTGGATGGTTTCCCTGCAACCTGTGTGGGCTGCACTGACTCTTACAGGTCTCTCCTTGCTCAAGACTCTGAGAATCATGCCCTTGAGCTCTACCCAATAACATCCCACAAGCAGCCATTGAAGATTCTTCTCCTGGTTCTCACTCAGCATCCCATCACCTGCTGGGACAGAGAGAATCCAGACAGGAGTCATTCCCTGTGCTGAGCTGAAAGGAAACTCTAAAACAAATAGAAAAGGGGGAACATGTCCAAAGAACGGTTGGAAAGATTGAATAACCATGAGCTGAGTTCACCCTTCTTCCCCATAACTCTTTCCTCCACCCAGCACCCTCAGACTGAAGTTTCAAGATAGAACTGATGAAAATGCACACGTGATACCTGCTAGGAGGATACAGAAATTAGTTTGAGTCAGTTTAGCTGATTGTTCACCTGCACGGGTGTCACAGCTGATGTCCCCTTCCTCACTGCCCTGGAGAGCTGGGATCCGCAGCTCTTCCCTTCGGTCCACCCAGAAGATCACATGAGTTGTGAAGACTGGAAATCCTGCTCAGTGTGCAATTAAACAAGAGTTGATCTTGTTCATTAAGTTCTGTGCCATTACTGATTCCAGAGCCATGATCGCAGTCATCCACCCTGAGAGGATCCTTCCCCACCTTTCAGGGACTGGGGTCTAGCTGGTACAAGATCCCAGGACACACTCACCTGCAGGAAATGTGCATACCCCTGCCTTGGGAATTGCCCAGCTGATATCCCAGGTGAGATGAACACTCAGTTGCACACTCTAGGGTACAATGACCTCAGGGCCTGTCCTGCCCGCAGATGAGCAGTCCGCGATTATGCAGACGAACCGTAGGATATTTAAAACCATGCTTCATTTCCAATTTCATATGTCTACATTTGCATTTCTCCCTCGAAAGACATACCCAAGAGCTCTAGGGAGGGCTGGCAGGGCTGACACTGAGGGCCCCACTCAGGGCTCAGACTGCAGCTGCCACATGGCGGATCACGACGGCTTGGAGAGGAAGGATCCAGCAGAGCTCTAACTCTCCAAGAGCTCTGTCCACAAAGCTCCTGGCTGGGGGGCTTTGCTCACCCTGCTTTTTGGCTCAGATGCTCTACTTGGGCCAGAAGGAGGCAGAGGAAGTGATGTGAGCAGCAAAATGAACCCTTGGCTGGTTGCTTCAAGGCCTGCCTATGGCTCCATACTTCTGATCCCACCTGCCTGTGTCTGGAGGAGCCCTGCCAGCTGCCCACAACAGCTTCAGCTTCCAAGGCCAACCAGGGCATTCCAAGCCTTCCTTCCAGGGACCCAGCACAATAGCACAAGGAGACCCTGCAGGCCCTAACAACAGCTGTACCCAGCCCCACAACTCTGATACCTGCCATTCCTGCCTGGGCCCTTCCACTGACACCTCCGGCCAAGGCATTACATACGCAAGATGATGGGGAAGCACATTGCGACCTTCGCTGTGGGAAGAGCAGCACCACTTATGTCCTTGTTCTTGCTTCCCCTGGGACAGGGCACGGAGGTGACAGTCTCTCACACAGGAGCCAGGACCAATGGGGCAGATACTTCCGACATTAGTGGTGGGGGCAATGAGGGACCCTGAACCAAACCCAACCCAGCTGCTCCAGAGCCCACCCAGCTTCTCATACCCGAGGGGACAGGAATCCTTACCCAGCCAGCTCACAGCCTCATAATTCTCCTGCATCACATCCTTGAAGAGGGTTCTCTGGCCTGGGTCCAGCAGAGCCCATTCCTCCTCAGTGAAATAAACAGCCACCTCCTCGAAGCTCACCGGCTCTGCCACAGCCATTTTCTCTTCCTGGCTCTGTAAGCCAGGGACTAAGCTAGAGACAGACATGGGTGTTCTGCAGCCTGGCAGGGGGAGAAGAGCAATTGGAGAAATTTCAGAAGGGGCTTTATTTGATTTTACAGACCCATTTTGCCCAGCCTCTGTCCCTGGTGACAGACATACTAGACTCTGCCATTGTGGGCAAAAGTTTGAGTCTATATATTCCATAAACACCACACACCAGTTAGATCCCTAATCCATATTCTTTTCTCTCTGTACCTAGCTTGAGTTACAACAGTACTACACATGCAACATTCACATTCAACCATACGATAAGCCAAACATTCACCTGCCTGAATACGGAGACAGGTTACATTTAGGCAGCTGTATTTAAAAACCTTAGTTTTCATTCATTGAGTTGAAACACAGACTATGGCTCTCTCATATGACAGATTTTATAAATCTTTTCCACAACAGAGAGTAAGCACCTGAATACAAGTATTCAGGTGCTTACTAAACATATGTACTGAGTGCTTGCAGGATGATATCTTAAAATACATGGATTCATGGGATATCATGCAGTCTGACCCCCTCTGTGGCACAAGCCATTACACTTAGTCCAGTTACCCAGCCACAAAGCTGTTTCCCCACAATGTGTTTTGTAAAATGTCCCCCAGTGATTTGAAGACATCAAAAGATGGAGAATCCACTAGTTCTTCACTCATTGGTTTCAGCAGCTAATCCTCTTCCCTATCAAACATTTGTGCCTCCTTTCTAGTCTGAAATTGTCTGGCTTCAGCTTTCAGATATTGGTTCTCCTGAGACATAACCATTAGACCAAGGGTGAGCACTACATTTTGATGTGTGGCGGACAGAGTGCTTCCCCCCCTAAAATTTTGGAAAGCGCCTGGAGTTGTACTCTTCCATGTCATTAACTAGAGGAAATGCAGATTCTGGGATGGAGATTGGGAGCAGAAGGGAGTCTGGGGTAAGGGACTGTGATGTAGGAGGGAGAGAGGGGTCTGGGAGGGAGTTTGGGTGAAGGAAGCAGGTATGACCTGGATTAGCCAACTACTCATTAGATATTTAAAGTAACTTTAATTTAAAGTAGTAACTTATAGCCCCTTATTAGTTCACCATTAGATATTTAAAGTAACTTTAATTTAAAGTAGTAACTTAGTGAACTAATAAGGGGCTATGAGTGTCTGACCACTGAAAATTCTTGTATATATAGATGTAGTAGGACAGAGAGTTTGAATATGGGGAGAGGGGGGCAGAGATTAGGAGGGGAAGGGAGAGATTGGGGTGCCAGAGGTAAGCTCTGGCCAGGAGACTTACCTGAGTGACTCCTGACGAGCAGCCAAGCACCTCTCTCAGGCAGATAAGGGAGCCTGCCTATCCCTCACACAGGCTGCAGGGCCATGTGTGTGTGAGAATAATTAAGAGCTGGAGGGGGCACAGTGCTTCCTTTCTGGCCAGAAGTCAGGCAATAAGATTGTCCTGGGGGTGAAAGCAGCACCTGACGCCACCCTCCCCCCCCTCTGGGCTTTCTGAGCAGCTTGCTCTTGGGACATGTAAAGGATTGAACCAGCCCACGGCTCCCCCAGCGTCCGTGAGCCAGATCCGATGGCTTGGCGGGTTTAATTAGGCCCATGGGCTGTATTTTGCCCAGGCCTGCACAACACCCCCTGGGGATCAGCAGTTTCTCACCATGGATAGACTGATACAATGGAAGTCAGTCAGCTCTCAGCCTTTCAGCCTATTTACTGTTTGAAATAAACCCTGTATGGAAACTGACTGAGCAGTGAAATCTGAGCCTGAAGGTGCCATTCCTTGCGCGCTTTAAATTCACCCCTTTAGCATCACACCCCACAGACCAGCATTTCTCAAAGTGTCCATAGGTCCCCATGTAATGCCCCTGGGGTTCCTCACTGATCACTGGGTGAGATTTAGGGCTGTGCGTACCATGGCTGCTGGGTTTGGTTGGTAACTTTAATGACAAGCCCATGAAGATGTTTTCACAAGGAATTTTCTCATTATGTAAAGAATCCCCACCTGCAAACTCACCCTGTCTGAAAGCTCCCAGGAATTTTCCTCTTGCTCGCTCCAGTGTAGAGGGCAGAGTGTCTAGTGGGGGAAGGGATAAGAGAAGTGAGATTCCAGGCTCTCCTATTTATAATAGCCCCACATTGAACTCTGCATTTAAATTGTATCAGAGTCCAGACAGAGACACACTCAGGTGTCTAATATGAAAAGGTCTGAAACCTTCTGTCTCCTTTCTCATCCAGGAACCTCTCAGCAATGGAGCCAACATCCCTGCAGCCTCACCCCCATTCCAGGAGAAACAAGCTGTAAGTGAGATTTACTTTTTCCCTCCTTGTCCCTTCCCACTTGGTGTCTCAGTCACTTACGGCCTCTTGTTATAACCTAGAGCTGTGGTGGCGGAAGGTGTTGCCACCACAGGAACTTTACCCATTTTGATCCCTTTCTGAACACTCCCATTAGTGTCAGTTTACAAACCCCTGGCTCAATTTGCAAGGAGGTGGGTCTGTTCACTCAGGGTATGTCTAGATTGCATCCCTCTGTCGGCAGAGGAATGCAGATTAGGCAGGTTGACATTGCAAATGAAGCAGGGATTTAAATATCCCGTGCTTAATTTGCATAAAAATTGCCACCGTTTTTGCCGACTCAGCACTTGGTCAGCAAAAAGAGGCAGTGCAGAGGGGGATCTGTTGAGGAAAAAAGCCTTTTTCAACAGATCCCTTATGCACAGGATATTGAAATCACCGCTTCATTTGCAATGTCAACCTGCCTAATCTGCATTCCTCTGCCGACAGAGGGATGCACTCTAGACATACCCTCAGTGTCTTTAGGGAGAGCAGCATGATGGGGCTGTCGTTCTCCATGTGGGAATTGTGGCAGGGGAAGATTGGTTGTACAGCCCAGATTCAATAGTCTCAGATACATAAACCACTTTCCCCATATCCATCCCTTCTAGATACCTTTGAACTCCCTCAGAGTCTCCAACAGTGCAATCATTTTCTGGGAGAAACCCCTGACTTGTTCTTCCAGTTCAAGAGAAATCTCCTCTGGTGGCTGGAATTGCCCCATCTCACACCTGGACAGAAACAATTCCATGTGATTGTATTTCATTTACTGATAAGTTCTGGTGAGTGAGTCTCAGCTCTAACAGGCCTGGAGTTAGAATTCCTCGAATTCCCCCAGCCTGAGAGCAGGGGCAAAAGTCCATGGCTATGCAACCTTCCCCTCAAAGGACCCATTACTGTTCTTCACCTCTGGCCCACAGAGACCAGCTGGGGGACAAAATTGAGTCTCCATGCCCATCTCACTCCTTGGCCTCCACCTGGCCCTCAGCACCTTAAGGGCTGTAGAAATTTGCCCACTGGGAACTAGACTGAGACACCAGCTCCCCCCTCCCCAGCTTCTTCCACACAGGTATCCAAACAACCCTCGGGTGGGACAGACTCTTGATCCCTGCTGCCCTGGGGCTAAACGTGCCCAGCAGTGACAGGCCCATGTTCCAGCCCCAGAGTCCTGAGGCAGCCAGTCCCCAGGGAGCTGACAGCTCTAGGAAACACTTGACATCAGACTGTGCCCTGAATGGGGAATTCCAGAGTCTACTGTGCGAGGGTGAGACATCTGTATTCAACATCTGGTGCTAACATTAACTCCAAGCTCTTTCTCTGTGTGGTGCAGCATGAGAGGAGCGAGAGCAATATACCTGCTCAAAGTGCTTCTGACATCCTAGAGAAAAGAGACAGAAAAAAATCTCAGTCCCATTGGACACACACAGGGGACCTCAGGGAAGGGATTTTGCAAATATGGGGAGGAGAGGCTCTGGCCTGGCCCCAGTGCCATCGATTCCCTTAGCAAATCGAGCTTTGCCATCTCTAATGTCTCTGTGCCTGTAACTTGGCAAAGCACAACAGTCACTCACATGTCAGCAATGCACGTGTTACACTGAGATCTGACAGCTGGACCCCAGCGCTTGTGATACAGGAGAAGCTAGGATGTTTCTCCCTCAGTCTCACCTGCAGGAATTCACTCGCTGGCTTCTGACACTTCCCCTCCAGCTCCTCTATAAGCTCACTAAGATGGGAAATCTGTGCAGAGAGTTTCCTGAGTGCTCCAGTCTGGAGCCTCCCAATCTCCTCATCCAACTTCTCCAACTGGGCTAGCAGGAGTCGCTCTTGATCCGCCAGGAACTGCTGCAGCTGCTGAAATTCAGCCACAATCTTCTGCCTCTCAGCTTGTGTTTGTTTCTGTATGAAAACAGGGAGAGGGCTGTTTGGGGCATGGATGGAACCCGGGTCCCTTTCATTGGGAGGTGAATACGCAGCAGAAGAACTTCTTGGAAAAACTTAAAAGTTGTGATATTTGACTCTACTCTGTGGGCACGAGGCAGAGCATCTCTCCCAGGATCTCCTTTGGCCCTTGCGTCCCTCTGAAAGGGATGTTCCCATGTCTGTAATAAGCAGCATTTTCTGTTTTTTATGGGCACTGGGAATTCAGATCCAGAGCAGCAGGAGGCAGGACTCAGCACCAGCCTGACAGAAATACTCAGGGAGGAAAAAGAAGCAAACATTGCAATGCACCAAGTGAGCAGACCCAGCAGACAGCCCTTCAGGGGGACATTCAGCTCCCTCAGGGATGATTTCTGGGAGTCACAGGTGTAGACATTAACTCATCCACTGACAAGGAAGCTGACAGAGCTAACTCAGCAATCCATGATCCAGGAGAGAGAGAAATTAGCCCAACCTCACCAAGGCCACACAGGAGTCTGCCTCTTAACACAGCCCCTCCCACTGCCAGTCCCTGATGGTCCATAACCACAGGCACCTACCAGACATTCCTGGCTTTTCCCTTCTGCTGTCTCTTTCCATCTCAGCAGCTTTTCTCTCTCTTCCCTCAGAGTCTTCAAATGCACCTCCAATTTTTCCTGAAGAAACAGAAATAAGCACCAGGGCAAACCCCATGAGATGTTGGGAACCCGTTTGTCTGCCTTTAAGTTGCACTGTCCAGTTTTGTGGAGCTCTGTCTCGGTCTAGCAGGGACTTAGCCCTGCATGTGGCATTATGCATAGAAAAAGAGACAGGAGGAGACTGTGGATGTAGCAGATACCTTTCACGGTGGGGAACGGATTGGTGGAGGCACCTTCGTAAAGAATGATGCAGGTGGGGATGTGGGAGATAAAACGAGTAAAAAATATTAATCACGTAACCGGTTACAATTTTATCAGGGACAGTATTTTTAACCTCCTGACAGGCAAGGCTGGTAGCAGACCTGGTCTCTCCTGGAGGCAGAGCTCTCTCGTGGGATCTGCCAGGGGTGGCCACAAGGTCTGCCGGCAGATGGGGACTCCCAGCAGCTGCAGACTGACGTTAGATGCCAGGGGAAGCGGGCACTGCCGGGAACAGGGGGGAATTGAACTGGTAACTGGCACCGATAAGCATTAGCGCATCAGTTAACCAGTTTGAACTCTGGCTACAACCCAGTCAAATCCCAGTAGTGCCTGGCATGGACCTGAGCTGCCTGGAGTGGTGCTGTGAGTGGACTCAAAGCGATTGGGGCCCCACCCAGTGTCCAGGCCAGCGACCTCCTCTAGTGCCGGCTGCAGCATCTGAGTTTAACCCCTCATGGAGCAGCCCAGGAGTTCAGCATGCCAGTGGGAAACCTCCTCTTCCTGCTTGGCCTGGGGCCTGTAACAAAGCATCTTTCCCTCCAAGAGCCACACTTCATTACTCTTCAGTGATGCTGAGGGGCAGTGGGAATGCAGCCTAGTCATTAGTATAGCCTTGGAATGAGCCTGGAGACAGCAAGGCTCGGAGCTAAACTCTGTCACTGCTTTGCTTGGTGACCATGAGGGAACTTGTTACCCTACTTTCCCTTCTCACCATTTGTCTAACTATACTGTGACCTGTTCAGAGCAGGGACTGTCCCTTGCTGGGTGTTGTGTAGCGCCCTGGTTCCATTGTAGGTTTATAAGGCAAATGACAGATTACTTCTGCTTCTCAGCCAGTAACAGCTTGTAACCTCCTCTTCTCCAGTCCTAAGGCAGCTCACTTCCATAGACTGGCCTGTAGCTCCTGTGAGCTAAACCTCTCTGATTGTTAACACCTTCCCTTGTGCAAAATCCCCTCTTGTCACCAGTGAGGGCTGGGTTTCAGGATTCAGAGCCTCAGAGACATTTCTCACATCGGGTAACTGAAAAGATTTGCTGTAAGTTGCTACAAAGCCAGAGCATTTACTTTTTACAGAATTTCTTGTACCATGAAGGCTTTAAAGTGCCATGTCACACCTCTGCCAGGTAACAGTCGATGAAATTAGCCTCTAATTAAAACCCAACCTTATTTCCCATTACACTGGACAGCAACTCTGTACCTTGTACTCCTGGGCATCTTCCTGGATAGGCGCTACTGTTTGATCCTGGGATCTGTCACACCCCACACAGATGGGAGTTTGATCCTCTTCAGAGAACAGCTTCAGAGCCTCCTGGTGCTCTCCACATAGCCTGTCCCATCTTGCTCTCTTTGCTGCCTGGAAACTCAGCGGCTTGGCTAATTCTACCATGGTTGTTAGCTGCCGGTTGGGCCGGAGGCGTCTCTGTTGCTCAGTATCTCTGCACCAACAGCTGAGGGGGGCCTGGCAGAAATTGTACCCACACTCTAGAGTGACAGGGACTGTGAAATCCTCCAGACAGATGGGATGTGGCGCTTCCTCCCAGAGACTTTCCACCGGACTCTCTGCAGCCATGGCTGCTTCTGGGCTGGGGAACAGGGGTAGTTTCAATATCCTGAGCTCAGCAATGTGGGGGAAGGTCTGGAGGGTGTGTGCGTGATGCACCAACACTGATGACAAAAAACAAAACAAAATTAAAAACAAAACAAAAAAAATCCCTGGGGGCATAATCTGTGGTCATGCAGGGACAACCAGGCCAGGCAAGATTCATCGATATATATATAAGTATGGGTATCAACACTGATAGATTGAAACATTTTTTTCAGTAACCCTTGAGTTAACTTTTCACAATGGCACGAAAATGAGCATTTCTGTGCCCTTGCTACCAATCTGAGTTTTCACAGGTGCAGGGAATGAAGGGGGAATAGGTCACTAGCAAGTCAGACCACAATGCATGTCAGCAGGCACTGGGATTCCAAATGTTAACACTTTATCGACAGAATGGCAGCATCACCTCTCAAAAGATGCAAACAAATAAGCTCTCAGGCAGCATTATTCTTACCTGGCATCTGGGTCTCTCTCATTATGAGCTGAAGAATTTTCCATTGGTTTGTGTGTCAAGTAGGGGAGAGATGTTACATTTAGATTCATTGGCTGTTATTACTTTTCAAAGGTAAAGGTGCTGCAGGGAGCATGGGGCCTCCCAGGAGGACTCCCCAACAGGCCCTGGGGCTGCACATGGGCTATGTCTAGACTGGCATGATTTTCCAGAAATGCTTTTAACGGAAAAGTTTTCCATTAAAAGCATTTTTGGAAAAGCGCGTCTAGATTGGCAGGACGCTTTTCCGCAAAGTCACTTTTTGCGGAAAAGCATCCGTAGCCAATCTAGATGCGCTTTTCCGCAAAAAAGCCCCGACCGCCATTTTTGCGATCGGGGCTTTTTTGTGGAAAACAAATCTCTGCTGTCTACACTGGCCCTTTAGTGCAAAAGTTTTCCAGAAAAAGACTTTTGCCCGAACAGGAGCAGCATAGTATTTCCGCAAAAGCACTGACAATCTTACATGAGATCGTCAGTGCTTTTGCGGAAATTCAAGCGGCCAGTGTAGACAGCTAGCAAGTTTTTCCGCAAAAGCAGATGACTTTGCAGAAAAACTTGCCAGTCTAGACACAGCCATGGTGTTTCAAAGAGGCAGCCCAGGGCATGGCCCCTTTAAAGCTCCCCTCCCTCTTCCCCTGCAAGAGCCACGTGAGCAGTGCAAGGGCAGGTACAGGGATGCTGCAGTTATTGCCCCGCCCCTCCGGACCCCTCACCCCCACCAAACCACCCCCTTACTGTGAGCCAGACTCAGCATCTCCTGACAGAAAGGGGGGGGGGGGGGGGAGGGGGCGGCT